GGGACGCGGAGGCAGCGGCGGAAATCATGGGCTGCAGCAGCGGGCGGAAGTAGGAGGGAGACTGTGATAGGTGAGTATAGAGAGCTGAAAGAATAATCGTTCAACCCTCCTACGCTTGGAACACCAGGGACTATTTGAGGAATGGACAAAGCGGAAAATGGAAGATCCATAGTGTTTGAAGAAAACTAGTAAACACGAAAAAAGATGCTGTGTGCTTCTTAATATCTACCAGAAAAAGGAAAACATTAGGAAGACATTTTGAGGACAAGAACTTGAAAAGAAATAAAACGTGTTTTCGCAAGGGATGAAGGATAAAAGGGGAGATTGAATTGGCCTTATTTTACGTGGCGAGACTCGGGCCATCAGGACCGCTCTTCCGTCTGACCACGCAATTTCGCTACGCTCCTTCCACCAACTAGGAGAGAAAGGAGGTATTTCTTGGGCGAGAAACAGGCGATTTTGAATGGGACAGTCAGCGAACATGGGACAGCCGGCTTTACTTCCCCTCCGAAGGAAGGCGTACGAAGGATTTTTTCGCCCTTAAAAATGCACGGCTTCGATCGGGTTCGAACCCGCCAACTTGGGTACAACAGTCCAATACGCTAACCGTTACACCATCGCCGCCATTAAAGATTATGTTTAAAAATCTATACGAATGGAAATTGCACAAGATATTCGGGGACGAATGATAGAATTAATGTTTATTCAATTAACGAAGTGGGAATTATTTACGCAAATATAAAGATTGCACAAAAAACCAAATGAGACTGCAAGATGAAACTGGAAAAGGAGAAAAATGTATAAAAGAATAGTGGAAAATATTCAGAAGGAAATTGGCATAAAATGAAATTAATATTGCCAAATGATTGAAGTGATGAAAATAACTGGAAAAATAGTGGCTCGAAAAGATGAAAGAAATTGTGGTCAAATATTAAGAGAAGTAAGAGGAAAGTGAGAAAACATCAACGGAAAATAAGAAGCGAGCGATATAATACGCAAAATATGAAGGTAAATAAGTCACTAGAAAAAAGTTGAAAGAAGAATGATGCTAAAGAATGATTGATTAAAATAGAGGAAGAAAAGAGAAACAAAATTTAGTTAGGAACCGCAGAAAATGAAATTATATTTCTATTCTATCCTAATTCAAGTAAGCGTTTTTATGTAAATGAAATCCGCAGAAACAGACTAACCCCAGACTAACATATTAATAATGATTTTTACAAGAAACAACAAAATATATTTAGTAATTCATATTAAAAATCATCTTCCAAAGTTATTTTCTTCAATTAGAACTTAATTTAAAGTGGGGAAAACCGAGAAGTAGTGAACAGAGTGCTTTCCACCTCTGGGTCCGGGGTCTGATCCAAGTAAAATTTACTACGGGGAATGAGAATTCCGCCAGGATTCCTCCGGGTTTTTCTTGGCTCTCATTTTACTACCTTCTCTCTGTTCAGGCACATTACTCACACCATCAGCATTGCATCTCAATATAAAT